CAGATCTATAGGTTCTTTTGGCAGTCCATGGCACTTTTAGTATTCTCCTCCAACACCACAACTCAAATGCATCAATTCTTCTACGATCTGCCTTATTCACTGTCCAGCTTTCGCATCCATATGAGGCTATTGAAAATACCATGGCTTAGGTCAGGCGCACCTTAGTCCTCAAGCTAACGTCTCTGCTCTTCAATACTTTAAAAAGTTCCTGTGCAGCAGATTTGCCCAATGCAATACGTCGTCTGATCTTTTGACTGCTGCTTCCGCAAGTGTTGATAGTTGATCCAAGAAGAATGAAGTCCTTGACAACTTCAATCTTTTCTCTTTTCATTCACTGTCAACTATCACATGCGTATGAGGTTATTGAAAATACCATGGCTTGAATCAGACACTCTTTAGTCCTCAAATTGACATCCTTGTTCTTCAACACTTGAAAGTGGTCTTATGCAGCAGATTTGCCTAATGTAGTATGTCGTTTAATTTCTTGACTGCTGCTTCCATGACTGTTGATGGTTGATGCGAACAAAACTAAGTTTTTGACAACTTCAATCTTTTCTCTATTTATATGGATGTTGTTTATTGGTCTAGTGGTAAGGATTTTTGTTTACTTTACATTGAGGTACAACTCATACTGAAGGTTGTGGACTTTGATCTTTATCAGTAAGTATTTTAAGTCCTCTTCACTTTCAGCAAGCAAGGTTGATTTCCCCATTCCATTGGGTCACCTCTCTATGGAATGGGCACAAATATGGATCTCTCCTATTCAGTTGGCCAGGTTTCTTGACGTAGATGAGTGAATGCCTCCGGTGCCACATCAGTTTGTTGAAAGATTTCAATTTGTATTCCATCAATTTCAGAGTCTTTTTCTTTGCCAATGCCTTCAATGCACCTTGGCTCTTGATCATATGCTACATCTTCAAATGGTGGAACATCAACCATTTCTTTTTGGTTCAGTGATTCTGTGTATTCCTTCCGCTTTTTTTTTTTTTTTTAATTCTTTTTGCATCATTCAATATTTTGCATGTAGACTCCTTCAAGTCGAAGGATTCAAGTCAAGGATTTTTTATTTGCATCTCTCCAGTGTCACACCAGGACTCCATTAGCCATTGTTGTTGTTGTTGTTATGTGCGGTGGAGTCGGTTCTGACTCATAGCGACCCTGTATAGGGTTTTCGAGGAGCAGCTGGTGAGCTTGAACCACCGACCTTGCAGTCCAAATGACTTTGCAGCCCAGCGCATTAAGCTATAGTGCCACACCAAGACTCCACATTGCTGGTAGGACTGTAAAATGGTTTACCCACTGTGCAAAAGCTGTGGCACTTCCTCAGAAAGTTGGAAATAGAAGTACAGTATGATCCAGCAATCCCACTACTTGGTATATCCACAAGAAATAGAAGTCATGTATGCACCAATGGTTCAGAACAGCACTAGTCACAATAGCAAAACCACAGTATCTTATAGCTAGCACAGTTTGAGGGTATGGGAACACCTTAAATGTGATTTGTCCCCTTTCAACTTAAGCGCTCCTGGTGTGGCAACTGTAGGATCACACTGGACTGCGAACCACAAAGTCGGTAGTTCAAACCCACCAGTTGCTCTTCAGAAACCCTATACAGGGTTGCTATGAGTCAGAATCAACTTGATGGTACTTAACAACAACTAAAGTGCTGGAGTCCTGTGGCACTGTAGGATAAGCACTGGACTGCTAACCACAAAGTTGGCAGTTCAAACCCACCAGAGTTGGAACTGACTGAACAATATTTAACAACAACAACTTAAGGGTATTACTTCCCAATGTTTTGTTGTTGTTAAATGCTGTTGTGTGAGGTCCAACTCATAGTGACCCTGTACAGGGTTTCTGAGGAATGGCGGTGGGTTTGAACTGCTGACTTTGTGGTTATCCTACAGCACCAGGATTCCTTTAACCTTAACAATATTTTAGTCATTTTTAATTTTTAAAATTATGTTTATTATGTATGATAATGTTTGCTTAAATTTACCTCCTCTTTACCATTTTCCATTACTTCTGGCATATCAGAGTGTCTTTCTGTGCTGCATTCTAAAAAATGTTCTTCAATCTTACATGTCACTGACACTCTTCAGCGGTGTGTAATTTGCTATTTTGCCAAACAGTGAGTTTTTTAACAAGTAAATTTTTATTTTCTATATTAGCTTTGGTAGCGTGGTGGTTATGAATTGGGCTGCTAATCTCACGGTCAGAAGTTGGAAACTACCAGCTGTTCTGTGGGAGAAAGATGAGGCTTTCTGCTCCCGTAAAGATTTACAGCCTCGGAAACCCTGTACAGGGTTGCTATGAGTCAGAACCAACTCCACGGCACATAACAACAACAACATATTTGTCAGGTCATTTTTTTTTCTTCTCCATTCATTTCCCCACTAAATTTTATTTTGCTGTTGAACAAACACCAATTCAACAGCATCTATATGCACAATTTAGTGACACGGATTACATTCTTCAAGTTATGCAACCCTTCTCAATCCCCCTTTCTGAGTTGTTTGCCCCTTATTAACATAATCTCACAGCCTCCCCTAAGGTTCTGATAGAATCTTTTGAGTTGCTGCTATCAATTTGATCCCATATAGATAGTTCTTAAATGAGCATAATGCGTGAGGCAGACCTTTTTTTTTTCCCACTAAACTAAATTATTGTTTGGTTTTAAAATGGCTTCAGTTTAAGTTTTAAAGATTACCTCAAGGCAATAGTTTGAGTGATTCATCTATCTTCCATGACTCCAGAAAGTCTAAAGTCATAGAAATGTGAAATTCTGTTCTACGTTTTCCCATTTTTGACCAGAACTCTTCCATAATATCCTTGGTAAAAATATAACCAGGCACAATCCAGTTCTTGTCTCATGGCAAAGGAGGTAATTGTTCGTGGACACAATTAGCCACACATTTCATATCCTCCCCCATATTCCTGACTCTTCTTCTTCTATTGTTCCATGTGAATACAGACCAGCTGGTGTGCCTTGTATGGCCACTTGCGAGCTTTTACACCCCAGGCCCAATGCAATGAACTGGGAGGTAGAACAGAAGCACTAATCACTAACCATTAATATTATTGGGCTAATTAACTGAGCTCTCTCATGAAACCATGACCCTAAACATCCAACCAAGGAGCCATCTCGTGGGAGATGTTTGGTTGTATATAAGCAGCCTCAGCAGGTGCTCATTTTCACTGTTGTAAACATATGAGACTGAGTCAAAAATTACCGACACTCCAGCTATATTAATATGTTCACCCATGTCCACAGATGATGAGAAATGATTCTCTTGAATAGGTGAGTGATAGTGGATTATGTGATAAATCAGCTATGATCGACTCTGTGGCAACTTAACAACAACAACCTGCATATCCTGTCTCTCAAATTTCAAGTCTAGAAATTTATGATAAGGGTATGGTCAGAGATGTGTACAAAGATATATGTACAAGAATGATTATATTTGCAACATTTTGTAAATAATCTAAATTTCCAATAACATAAGATTCCTTATGTTATGTTATTGTGGTACGTTCATAAGATGGAATACTATGCAGTCATTAAACTAATATTCTAGAATAGTTTGATACAGGAAAAGATATCTGATATATACCTATGTGGAAAAAAATTCAAAATCAATATTAGTTCAATATGACATCATTTTTGTAAAAAACAATATTTGCTTCCTAGAAGGACATATTTATTATAAAATATGAACAGTGGTGATTTTGGGTCATGGTATGATAGATTTTTTTCCTTAGTGCTTCTCTGACTCATCCCCATTTCCTACATTAAGCATGCATTTATTTTATAATGAGAAAAAATATCTTAAAGATTCTCTCCTACTCAAAAAATTTTTTTCACTGCCATCGTGTCTCCTCATCTCCCACCCACATCCTGCTCCTTCATCCCTCACCACCTTGCTAAGCCTGGTGCCGTTAGCCCCCACTTTCTCCGATCCACTGGCACCATGGCAAGAGCAGCCTAACTCACAATCCAAACAGGACACTCCAGGTTCAAAAGCCCATAACATCATGTCCACGCTCCTCAGGATAGCTGCTGTGGTCTGCAGCTCATCTCTTACCACATGGATAGTCTTTCCCTTTTATTCCTAACAGTTTTTGGTTCACGGCGGTCCCTGCCCCAGGATGCCTTTGTCTGGAAGCTTCCTCCCTCTTGATCTCTCTGTAGACCTGCCCTTCGAATTTCTGGCGTCAGTTCATTTCTGGTGCTTCTATCGGTGCATGTTTCACACTGGGTAATCCTACTTTATTGATTTGTTTGCTGAGAGTGCCTGGAAAGCAGGGCCTGGAACTTCATTTCTATATTCCGGTGCCTGCATTGTGCCTGGCACATGTAGATACTTGTGCACATGTAGGTACAAAGTCTTGCTGGATGATATACACTATAAATTCTCTTAGCCAAAATCTCAACCTCACACATCCTCTCTCCCTTTTGTGAAAGCTGCACAGATCCACTTGACCCCCAACACAAGGAGACAGCAATAAGGACACACACTTACAAGACATTTTCTGGTATACTCTATAGGCACACACCATAGTAGATGGAATCCTGCCACAGGGTCTTTGCACTTACTGAGTACTCTGCTTGGAATCCTATTTTTCCAGCTCTTCACATGACTAGTTTTCTCTCATTTTTCCACTCAGCTCAATGTCACCTCAAGAAAGTGGCCATCCATGACTTTCATATCTACTGGTTACTTACATTTCTATGAGTCTGTTTATTTCCTTTATAGCAATTTGAACAATTTATAAAAATATTATGTCTCTCCCACCTTGTATCCTGATGTAATTCCCTGAAGGCAAGATCGTGTATGATTGTAAATTCTGTTCCTAAGCAGATGGATAAAATGATACACACATACATATAAGCTATAATGAATACAATCACATATTTACAACTACACACCACCAGTCATCCAAATATTCATGGCCATACTTGCTGGCTTGCCCCCGCTCCCCCAACAACTTCCACTTACCGGGGTCACAAATTTGTTGGCTTCCCAGGCCCACAGAGGTGGGTCCTTATAGACCTCCTTGATGGAGGTAGGAGCTCTGTAGGAGTCAGTGTAGGTGCTGATGGGGGTCTTGGTCTTACGGGAGAAGATGAACATGGTGGGGTATACGGGGTGCTGTAGTAGGCTCTGCCTACCAAGGGCTCCTGCTGAACCTCAGTGACCACCCATTTTCCTGGGCAGCCCACACTTCCAGCTTGTCAGGTGTTCCTACCTGCTATGTCCCCTTTTTGTCAGGGATCCCTCTAGCTTCCCTTCCCCACAACTTTCCTTGACACCACCCAACCCTGCCTCCCCCTCCAGGATGGGCACAGCCCATTATGATATCACCTGGCTTAGCACCATCCTTGGGAAGGTAAAGAGACCCAATTCCCTCTCTACTTCCCATTTCTTCCTGTCTCAACCCCTTCAAAAGAGGGGTGTTTTCAAGAATTCAGAAGGCTCCTAGAAACCTTCCAGGCTGAGCTTCTCACTTTATTGAAGAGGAAACTGAAGTTCCACAGGGTCAAGTGACTTATCCAGTGTCATGCAGCAAGTCAGTGGCAGGCCCTGGCCTGACAATCCATGGATGGATTCGGAGGATCAGTTCTCTCCCCTACCCAGCCCACCTGCCCCTTGCCCATACCCCAGGTAGGGAACTGAGACTGGCTTGTTTGATGCTTTTAATATTATTTGTGTTACACGATACACAACCAAAGATGACGGTCAATACTGCTATGGAAACGTTAAAAAAAAACAACAAAAAACAAAAAGATACACGGCTCATGTCTTTCACGCACCTTCCTGAAAATAAATTAGTGAGCAAGGAGAAACCTGGCTGGGTGGCAGCCATAGCTGAGAGTAGAAGGAGTGTTAAGGCAGTATCTACAAGGGGGCAGAGGGGCAGGGGGGCAAGCTAAGGCCTTGATTCTTCCCCTCCAGCCTCCCAGACCAGGAAGGAGGGAACCATACACTCTCCCCAGACCCAAAAGCTGGCCACTGTTAGCTTCCTACTTCTCCCCGGCCATACTACACTGCCTCCTCTTAAAGCCCTGGCTTATGAGAGTTACTGGTATGTCCTGTGGGGAGGGAGCTTTCCCTGGTTCCTCAGGATCAGAGTCACAGAGCAAGTGAGCAGCAAAGGCAGCAGTCTAAGTGAGTCCTGGTGGGGGCTCTATCCAAAAAAAAGGGGAGGTACCCGTTCTAGAAGGGTGAGTCGAGGAGCCCTGTGGTAGTGGTAGGCAGGTTCTGGGACCCAGGTGAACAGGGGTGGTGATGCTGACTGGGGTGGACGACAAGTGCAGATGGGGGCCGGTGTGAATCTTATGGACTCTGTAGGTGCCTTCTCCATCCTTACCTTCCTTCGGCATTTTCTCATCTAACTAGGGTCCCTGCATTAGAGGAGGCAGGAGTGGGTAGAGGGAGTAGGGGGTGGAGAGCTGCACCCTACACACGGGAGTTGGCAGCTCCTGTGTGGGGTGCAGGGAGAGGTGCTACCCTTCCTAAGGCAGCAGCCTTGCTCCCTCCTCTCACTACTTCCCTTTCCAGCTTTCCACCTCCCAGGACTGGCAGCCAGAGGGTGGACTGGGGTCCATTGCATGCTTGCAACATGTGAGTGGCATATGCCAGCATGTTACAGTGTCAGCATGGTGTAATGGAGAGGGTCTATCTCCGTCCTGAGATATGAGATCCGTGAGACACAGGTCTGAACAGCCTTAGGCTATCCATACTTCCATTTTCCTTCTCATGGGGCAGAAGAGGCCCTAATCAGCTCCTCCCTCTTCTTTTACATCCTCGCTTTTCCTTCCAATCCCACAAACCAGCAACAGCAGCAGAAGCAGCAGTACACCCATTCTGACTCATAGATGTCCCATACAGCTACACTCACAATAGACCCTCCCAGACACACATACACACATTCACAGACACACAGAAACACATATATTTCCAAACAGGCCTCTTAGAAACTGCCCCCTTCCCTTTCCACACAGAGACACAAACTCAGGGAGCCCCCAAGGGGTATTCCAAGACACACAGAGAACTCCCCACAAACCTCCCCCCAGAAATTCCTACAAAGAAATGCTTCAGATACGAAGGAGCCGTAAAAATAATTGCAGCTGCTGCTCATTTTACAGTTGAAGAAACTGAAGCCCAGAGAAAGGAAGTGGCTTGTAGAAGATCACAAGGAGAGTGTCAGAGCTGGATCAGAACCCAGGCTTCTAACTCCCACCAAGGGCTTTCAGTCCATTGAAGTGCTGAGCATCCTCTTCCACTGTTAGCAGACCACACAGAAACTTCTCCACCACTGATGCTCACAGCTATGACAGAAACGGACACATGCAGATGTCCCGACCCCAGAGCAGACACAACAGCCCGACACCTCAGGCACACACATCCTGCCGGCCGCTCCCTACCACAGACATGCTGTCATTCGGTTCAGCATGCTTCCTTGCAGACTCTTTTTGGGAATCAGCCTCCAGAAACGGGCTGGGATAGGATGGGAATCGGGCATGTGAGATCAGCCTTAACCACATCCGCCTTCCAGCCTGAGACAGACACCAGTGAACAAGAAGCATGGGAGGGGTGGGGGCAGAGCGATGCACTGATTAGGGGCGAGTAAAGACAGATCGTATTGCCCTAAAGCCTGGCCTGTTTCCAAGACCCACCTTACCCTCCTTCTACAATCCAGAGAGCAAGGAAAGGAGTGAATGGGGCAAAGAGGAGCAAAAAGGCCTCCTCTTGTTGTTGCCAAGATGGTGGGTAGCGGGGGTGGGGCTGGGGAGACGGACAGTATCCTTCTGGGCGGGGTTTCCAGGGTTCCTGCCTGATGATGAGAGGAAAGCGCAAATAGGTACATGGGTCCGCAGAGGGCCGCGTGGGGGTTCTGAGGTGCTGGGCCCCGTCCCCAAGGCCAGGGCCTTCTTCCTCCCTTTCCGTGACAGGCTGGGGCTGGGAGTTCATGGCTTCACAGGGGTGGGGCTAAGCCCCTGGCTTTGTGATCCCTTCCCCCACTCATTACTGTTGGCCTCCCTGCCGCCCAGTTCCTTCTCTTGGACAAGGTACTGTAGCCTTGAGGGACGAGGCAGGGTGCTGGATAGGGTCTCCCAAGTAACTGAACAAACAGCCTCCATCCCTCCTCAGCCCCCGGGGTGGAGAGGGACCCGGTTTTGGTTTCTCCCGCTCCATGAACACAGAGGTACACGTCCTACCATAGGAGGAAGCAATGACTGTTACGAGGTTGCGGCTGTAGGGGGCGCAGGGTTGGGGGCAGGAGGACGAGTTGGGGAGGGGTCGACCCCTGCCCGCCCAGCCTGGCCCGCTCGGCCCGGCCCCCTGGCCGCTGCAGCCCCGCCCGCTACTGAATGTGGCAAGCGGTGGAGGACGTGGCCTGGCAACACATGCAGGTGGGGTTCACGGACTTGGGCGGTATGAGGTCCAGGTCCTCATCGTCAGGGATCTCGTCTAACCGGTAGCCGTCCTTCAGCAGCTGGATGTTCAAATCTTGGTTGATCTGCTGTAAACAAAGGGAAGTGGGAGGAGGTTAGGCTCGGGTGGGAGACAGTGGAAAGCCGGCCCACCTGCTTCTAGCCCCAGGCCCGCCTACATGTCAACCCCAGATTTCTCTGCAGCCTCACCTAGGCCATGCCCATTCCATTCTAAGGCTAATTTTTAACCTCAAATCCTGCCTTTATTCCAGCCCTGCCCCGAACTCATTCCCGGCCTCATTAAGTGTCCCCTGTATTTCACACCCCATCCAATCTAAGAGCCCGGCTTCGATCTCAAGCTCCACCCCCGCCCCACCCACACTTGCACTCCTTCTTTCAAACCCAATCCTATTCCAGCCCCACACCCTCGGGCCCTCTATAAAAGGGTCTTTGTCTTGGAGTCCTGGTGTGGCTCTGTGGGTTAAGGCACCAGACTGCAAAGCAGTTTGAACTGCAAGGTCGGTGGTTCATGCTCCTCGGAAACCCTATACAGGGTCGCTATGGGTCAGAACTGTCTCGACAGCACTTAAAAACAACAACAATTCCTCTTTTCGGAGTTCTGGTGTACTGTAGGATAAGCACTCGGCCATAAGGTCAGTTTAAACAGTAAGGTTGGCGGTTCAGACTCACCAGCCACTCCTTGGAAACCCTATATAGAGTCCCTATGAGTCCGAACCTACTCGATGGCACTTAACAACAACTCCTTTTAGGGTGTGCTTTGGCATTGGCCTCACCCCTTCTCCTTAATAGAAGTGGTCCTTGTCTTGTGGGGCCTCACCTCAGCAGAGGAATAGCCAGAGGAAGAATATCTGGACATGTCAAAGTCGTCATCACTAGTGGCGAAGGAAGGACAGGGAGGAAGTGATTCAGGGAAATTAAGTAGAAAACCCCCTATACCCTCCCATCAGTCAATACCCCACCCCCACCCCCCAAAGCAGCATGATCTAAATAAAAACTGTGCTTGCTGTACACATGCAGTTTTCAGACAGGTTCCCTAGCCGCACTCTTTAAAAATTAACTGTCACTACTAATTCGCTTCCAATAAGAGCTTCCACTCTCTCCACCCCTCAAATTGCCTTGACTGCTGAGTTTTCTGAAGTTCAAGTCTAGCCAGCTGCATTCCCAGCAAGTAGGACTCCTCTCTTCAAGAAGGTGGAGGGTAAGCATTGTATTCTGCTGTTCAAGACATTGGGGCCCATCCCAGGGGAAGCCATTGGACTAGTTCTCCCAGGACAGCAATATACTGCATCAACCCCCCTTTTCTTTATCTGCCTCTCCCTTCTCCTGGTTTAAAAACAAAAAACAAAAGCAAACCATTCCCTAGGGGATCCACCCATGGAGAGCCCCCAAACCCCACAGTATGGCAGGTGTGGCTGTATAACCCACTTGGGCTCACACAGGTTCCTGACTGCCCCCAGGCCCCCATACACACCTGTCTGTGTCAAGTGCTACCAGTGGCTTCTCATCTGGGCTCTGGTCAAGGGAGGAGTAGCCTTTATTGGGGACGACCAGCCTGGGTGGAGAATTTGTGGGGTTGGAGTGACAATTGGAACAATGGCAGAGGACTGGGTTGGACCACATCCTATCATGTCCCTTCCTCCCTCCTTCCCTTCCTCCCCACTTTGGGTTCTGTTGAGGCGCTCTCCTTTTGGAGAGGAGCTGGACCTAAGGAAGCAGGGACGAGGAAGTATCTCAGGACCATCAGAGATAGGGTCCAGGTGGGTAGAGGGGGTCTCTCTACCTGGTCCGGGCCATGACATTGTTCTTCTTGGGTTGCTGGTTGATGGGGCTACCCATGCTGCCATTCTTCAAGGAGCCCTTCCGGGCCAGCTCCCGCTGCTTCTCTGCAGGGAAACATGGGAAAGAAGCTGTGTCCTGCCCCAGGGTCACCCTACCTACTACTAGGGGCAGCAGCGGCCGGGCCTCCATTATGAAACCCCTTGCTTCTCTAGGGACTGAGGCTGTGACCCCAACTCCAGACCCCCAATGTCCACTGGAGACCTGAACGTCCTGAGGCACATAGTGGGGAACAAAAGGAGGCTGACCTCTGTTCTCCCAGGAACCACAAGTCCCATGTAGGGAAGTTAATGTGTGCTTGATGTTAGGGAAAGAATGGGGACAAAGAGAGGGTCACAGAGGGATGGGGCAGTCAGGGAAGACTTCCTGTAGGGGATAACTTCAGTTGGAAAAAGGAGGGCATTCTAGGAAGAAGGGATAGTGTGTACAGAAATGCATTTAGAAGTGACCATAGTAAGTGTGAGTCTGGATGGAAGGATGAAGAGCAAGGGAGATCAGGCTAGAACACTAAGATGCATTTGTTTACTCATGTATTCACTCTGCAAATAGCTTATACTACTAATCATGTGTCAAGTCCAACGCTAAGAGGCTGGGAACTCCATCTGGTTATATAAACATAGAGCATGAAGGATGTGAATGCCAGACAGGGGAGTTTGGAATTAATGCAGAAAGTACAAAGGTTGTGGAGCACAACTGGCTGAAGGGCACTAACAAGGCAGGGGACAGAGGTTAGAGGAAGTCCCTCAGGGCTACGATGCCTGAGTGATGCTCCTGACTCCTCTGCCAGTGCCTGAGTTCTTCTAAGTTTAGGATCTACCAGGTTCATGGTGCTGGCATCAGGTGACCCACTCCCTGGTGTGGCACTAAGTGTGGGAGAAAATCTTGTGGAGAAGTTTTAGAGGCACTGACTTTCTGTCTCTAGTCTCAGCATCTGTTCCCAACTGTAACTGCTCAGGTCCTAGAGGAGTTCCCAGCTGTGACTGTCCTTTCTAACTCATCTCAAACCCCAGATCTAGGGAAAAGGGATACTAGGGGAAGACTATCTCATGAGTTCCATATACCATGGCTCACTTTGGAATTTCCTCTGTCTTCATTTCTCTGAACCACTGTCTCCCAATCTCTGCCTGTGGTTCCTGTCCCTCCTTCCTTGCCACAGTTCACCAGGGCTCCAGCTTCTTTCCAGCAAGTGGGTACTTCCATTACCACCCCAAGCCTCTAGGGGGTGCAATTTGCCTTAAAGTTCCTAGTGGTTATTCCCCACCCCCACCTTTTAGTGAAACTAACTCAAACCGACTTGATGGCACTAACTAAAAAACAAAACGGAAACTGGGAGTCCTAGTGTGGCACTGTAGGATAAGCACTGGACAGCAAGGTCAGTTTGAACTGCAAGGTTGGTGGTTCAAACTCACCAGAAGCTCTTTGGAATCCTATACAGGGTTGTTGTGAGTTAGAACAGACTCGATGATACTAGACAACAACAATGAGTGAAACTGGGACAAGGTTGTACATTTTCATGAAGATCTTTGGTGGAATTTAATGGGAAGAAAAAGAAGAAAAAAGTTACTTGAAAAGCATGTTGCGATCGTTGAAAAAAAAATGTAGATAATAAATTGGCAAAACCAAATGGTGGACTGTTAGGCAACCATTTAAAAGAATGCAGTGATTCTCCATATGTTGACATGGGAAGGGGCTTTAAGACATTAATTGAAAGGAAAAACAAAGTGTCAGAAAATGTGTATGGTATGTCAAAACTGCAAAATCGAACTAGAAAAGCTAAAGGTGGTAAGGGAGTAGAGAAGAACTTAAGCTTGTTTAATTAACAAATAATACACAAATAAAACTGGCTGTAGTTTGAGTCTGATGTTCTAGGAAGATGAGCAAATTTTATTTGTGGAGAGAACTGCTCTCAGTTTAGAAAAACAGTTTGAGAGGGGCTCCCTAGAGGTGGTGTGGAAATAGCTGAATCAAAAAACAGGACTCTGCAGAAAGGAGTCTGAAAAGCTGTGGAGGAAAAGGTTTTAGAATACATGGTCAAGGGCTCTTGGGAGTGAGCAGGAGATCCAGTATTTGTTTGGTGGGCCTGAGGAGAAAAATGGATAGAATGGCAGAGAAGTTTTGAAGGGGAGTGATCGTCTGTATTTAATTGTAAGCTCTTTCCTGTATGCACTGTGTTGTAATTTCTCTCCATGCAACCATAGTTTTAGCAAAAGTCAGTTACACACAGCAGCTGTGGGGAAGTGAAACTTTGGATCCTGAAGGAAGGGGGGCAGTGCTCATCACAGGGGGAAGTGAGATGGCACCTGCAAGAGTTGTAGGGCTAGGTAGGGCTCAGGTGACTGACTGCAATGGAGCAGGCTGCAGTGTAAACTGACTTCAAGTGGACATGAGATAAACTTCCAAGGAAAAGTGACCCTGGAAAGGGTGGGGGTAGATGTTTGTGTTTACTAAGTAACTCAGAGAAAGCCCCCAGTCAGGAGCTAACCAAGCCCTGAAGATCTCCAGATGAGTTGAGATTGGAATGGGGAGAGGAACTCAGTATCGAGGCTTTGGCACCCTCATCCTTTCTATCTTTCAGACACATAACTGATACACCACTTCTAGGGTAGCTTCCTATTAGTCTGATCCAGTGTTTGATGGTACTTCTAGGCCCCTGAACTCCATTACCCATGCAGGCCTCTCTTGGAATACCTGGAGCCTTCTTGGTCTCAGAGATGCCTCCTAGAGTTTGGGGCTCTTTCAGAGAACTGTAACTGCCCCTGCTAACTTGCTGGAGATAAGGCGCCTGGCAGTGCCAGTGACTTGGTGGCTTGAGTCTTGGAATCATCTAACCTGAACTGGTTTGTCTGTGGCACATCATTGCAGACCCAGCCCAGTGTGCCTTGTCCACTACCCAGATCTCCCTCACGCCCCCAGACACACTCACCCAGCTTCACTTGGAGCGGGGATGGTTTGTAATTCATGGCTACTGACTCACCCTCCCGGGCGTCACAGTCTCCGTCTGAGATGGAGGCGGCGGCTGGATCCTATGGGAAGAAAGCACAAAGACAGGGTGTTGTTAAAAAGTGAACACAGGGGGATGTTCCCAGCCCTGAAGCTAGTTTTCCCACCAGCTCTCTGGGCTTCTAGAGGTATACATCCCTGGCAGCAAGCAAGGGATTTGGGGGAGTGGGCCAGGCCTATCCATGATGGGAGGTTCTGATCTAGGTAGAAGATCTAAGGATCTCAGCTCTACTTGTACCCAATTAGGCCTGTCTTCAAAGTTCTGTGTGATCCAGTCTCCTCCAGAAAACTTACCACATTGCCTTATACCCACAGACTGCTTCCTCCAACCTAAAGCTCATACTCGTTGTCCTGCTTCTCAGGGCCCTTCCTGTGTACTTGATTAGAAAGGTCTATCTAGGTTCTCATTGGTTGGAGTCTGGATTGAGGTCAGTGTAGATGCTTTTTGAGCCAGACCTTATTCCTCCCTGGCTCCCCTTGTCCGGGACCCAGAGGACTAACTGACCAAATAAGGTTTAGAGTATGGGCTGACTGGACAATAAAGCGTTCTAATGAGGACTCCTCAGTGCACAGTGAGTTCTAAAGAAGGGCTTCTGGAAGAACCTGAGATTGCGTGGATGGTAGGTGAGAAGACAATGGCAAATAAGCTGAAAGCCAGTTAGTCCTGTGTTACCCAGAGTGTAAAACATGGGGTTTGACACTAAAATGATGAAGGAAGGAAAGCTTGGATCTGTGTCTTCTCCATCTCCCTCACCACTCTCCTCATGCCCCTCCCTCCATTGGGCCAAATTCTGTGCTGCCCAGGATCCTAACTTAGTCCCACCCTGCTTCCGAAACATCTCAAATCACTGCTCCAAGAGTCAGGGCCCTGAGCCACTCTCACCTCCAGTTGAAAAGAGCTGGAGTCATTCACATTATCTCGAGAAGCTGATGATCAACCATTAACATAAATATCATCATAGGGATCTTCGCATTTTAACCAAAACCCACTACATTGAAGGACTGAAGTATGAGGATTCTAGATGGGCTCCAAAGCGGCTGCCTCTTATGCCTCTGAGGATGCAGAGACAGGCAGGCAGAATGCCCCAGGACTGGCCCACAGTGTCAGGTTAGGGACCTGGGTGGTTACTGGTGATCCATGACCATTATTATCCTGGGAGAGAAATCCTGGTCTTGTATGTGCCCCTTCAGAAGGCCATCTAGAGTACAAGACACTGGGTGAACAAGTGGTTTGTGAGTTGCTGAGGGCAGAACCTGAACTTCTCTTCTCTATCCTGATTCCCAACTCTTAGCAATGGTGAATGCAAAGTGGGGGCAGGAGGCTCTGCTCAGAAAAGGCCAAGTGCCACAGCACCCGAATCTCAGGCAAATTCAACACCTTTACTGTGGCCTTCCTGTTTGTCTTCCCTGAAAAATGCAGTCAATGCATCATGACCATCACATGGCAATGTAATTGTTGTTAAGTGCCGTCAAGTCGGTTCTGACCCATAGTGACCTTGTATAGGGTTTCCGGGAAGCGATTGGTGAGCTTGAACTACTGACCTCCCAGTTCAAATGGCTTTGCAGTCTGGTGCATTAACCCACAGCGCCACACCAGGACTCCTGGCAATGTAATGTTGTTGTTGTTGTTAAGTGCCGTCGAGTCGGTTCCGACCCATAGCGACCCTGTACAGGGTTTCCAAGGGTGTAAATCTTTATGGGAGTAGAAAGCCTCATCTTTCTCCCGCGGAGCGGCTGGTAGTTTCAAACTGCTGACCTTAAGGTTCGCAGCCCGATTCGTAACCACTACCCTGTACAGGGTCGCTATGGGTCGGAACCGACTCGACGGCACTTAACAACAACAACAACAACACTACCAGAGGGGGAGATTAAATGTGAAATAGTCATGAATATAAGTATCAGAAAGGAATCCAGGCAGAAGGAAGCGTCTGGCTCCCTGAAATCAGGGAGAATTGAAAATACCCTCCAAGGACATCTGACAGGCGTTAGCTAGATCCGGAACTAGAGTGAGGATTAGCAAGATTATTAATAAACACTCATCAGAGACAGACATTGAAATGCATCCCTAACAGCAGCCTATGTTTCTGCAACCATTCAAACAAATTCTCCAAAGACTGCTAAGAATGATTAATAGTCCAGCCTCACTGTTTCTGGAACAGGGTATATAGGCTAATGGCCAGTACATAGCCAATACATCTAGAGGAATAAACAAGTGCCAGAAAAATCCATAGTCTGGCCCAATGGTTTGCATTTAACTGTGCTCCTCTAGCTCTATGCCTTGTGTGGGGCTGAGGATGAGGCACCCCTCCAGTCTACTTTTAGTTCATTTACATATTAGGTTTCCTACAAGGTTTTTGGTTGAAGAAAGGGTTCTATCGCTTGAAAAAAGAAAGAAGAAAAAGCAGATTATAAGGTTGAGGACATCTGACAAGATGGCAGGCAGACTAGGTAGACATACTACACAGTCACTCTACGACAAAGATAGGAGAGGTGAATACTGACTTGAAGAAGCTGAACCAAAGCAGGGAGAGATGAGACAGATGAGTGAATTGTCTGGCCTGACATGGTGTGGCCATCTTGAACATTTGCAAGTAGCATCCAATGTAGACAGCAACCTGACCACACAAACATACACAAGTGACTGGCGGCGAGAAAGGTGCGATTCTCCTGTTCCCCACACCCTCCTGGTGACCAGAAGCCTGGCCAGCTCTCAGCTCTACTCACCCCTGCACAACTCCTGCTCTTCCAGAGGTCAGAGCCACACTATTGTGAATTAGGAGACAGGTGTAACACCCCTGCATTTGGAGGCACAAGAACTCTGCCTCATCAGACCAGCAGAATGCTCAGTGTCTAATCCTTAGTTACCCCTAGGCGAGCAGAAACTCCTTCCATAACCCAATTACCCTGTCCCTACCTGCCCTCTAGGCCCACAAGAGTTTCTTTTGGGAACAAGAACCTTAATACCAATCACCATCTGTGCCAGGACAAATTACTTTTGGATTAGGTGTATAGACTGCAGGCAATACTTAGGCCTATCGGAGTTCCATCCAGGGTTGGGTGGCCCGCCCTCTCACCCTTTCCCCACCTCCACCCTGTGATGGAAAAGCAGAGAGTGCCAACCCACACAGGTTCCCTGCCCCCACAGTTTTCTCCTCTCTGGGTCTAAACCCTTTCCCAGTTTTTTCCCTTCCTTTTTAGTTTGTTTTTTCCTCTCTCTCTCTCTTTTAATCCTTTGTTTCTCTGCTTTCCTTTTTTCTGTTTCTCTTTTCTTTCCCCCTCTTTATTTTTCTTTACTATTATTATATTTCTCTTTTCTTCCTCTCCTCCCTAATTTTATTTACTGTATTTTTCTCTCTTATTTTTTCTCTGCCTGTTTTTATTTTCCTTTACATTTTTTCTCTTTTTAGTTATTATATTAGTTTTTCTTGCTGCTGCCTGTTGGTTTTCTTCCTTTACTATTTTCTTTCTCCACCCAATGGAAGACAGCAACTGTGCCCACCCACACTCAAACCTTCTGCAGCTCCATGCACTGGGTAAGGGTGACTACCAGCTCTTGTACCATCTGATCAATGATAGACAACAACCAACACCAGTCAAATCTACCCTGAACTGTACTACACAGTGAATAGAGAACTGTGCACACACTTCCATTCTCTATCACATCCATCAGAAGGCAGGTGGTGAGTGCCTAAGAACATACCAATATACAATCATCATTAAATACAAATACAAAGACATCACAATGTCTTGGGGACAATTTCAGTTCACACGAAGAAACAAGACATAGTGACTTAAATAAGTGACCACAATGCAAAGCCAACAAACATTTCTGAGGAAGAAATAGTATTGGAGCTAACTGATGAAGAATTGAAAAGAATTATATTTAGATTGAGAGAAAAATCAAGAAAGCTGTATAATGAAAGCAAGGAAAATGCAGAAAAATCTTTATAATAATTTAAGAAAATACTATAAAAATAAACTGGCAAAATAAATGAAAAAATTATATAACATACAAAAATAGCAAGTAGAGATCCAGAATATTAACACTAAGATTTCAGAAACTGATAATACATTTAAAGAGCAAAGGAGTACAAGTGATTCAATGCAAGATTGAATTAGTGATCTTAAAGGCAAATCTCTCAATACTAATCTGATAGAGGAACAATCCAAACAAAGAAGGAAAAAAAATCTTGAGACAGCCTAGGAATTGTGTGGTAGCTGACTTCATTATACATTGATATCTTTTGTTCCCTATTTTCAGTCTTGTCAGTTTGTTTTTCTTTAATACTTCTATATATGTATGTATTTAGCTCTGGATGGTCTTGTCATGTATAGCAATCTTAGGTTGTTGTCTGATGTTGGTTCTCAGTCCAAAGAACACCCTGTAGCATTTTTTGTAAAGTTGGTCTGGTCATTACACATTTCTTTTGATTAGGAAATGTCCTAATTTCACCGTCGTATTTGAAGGACAGTTTTGCTGGGTATATGATTCTTGGTTGGCAATCTTTTTCTTTCAGAGTTTTGTATATGTCATCCCATTGCCTTCTTCCATGCATGGTTTCTGCTGAGAAATCAGAGTTTAGTCTTACTGGCTCTTCTTTGTAGGTAACCTTTTGTTTTTCCCAAATTGCTCTCAGGATTCTTTCCTTGTCTTTGATTTTGGAAAGCTTGATTATGATATATCTTGGTGATTTTCTTTTGGGATCTATCTGTTTGGGGTTAATTCAACTTCTTGTATGCTCATCTTTTCATCTCTCATGATGTTAGGGAAATTATCTTACAACACTGTTTGACAAATTTTTCTGTGCTTGTCTCTCTCTGTTCTGGAATTCCGATCACCTGTAAGTTGTTCCTCTTCATGGTGTCCCACATAACTCTTAGGCTCTCTTCGGATTTTTTCATTCTTTTTTCTGATTGTTCTTCTAGCATTACTAGTATTAAGTGATTTATCTTTAAGCTTACTAACGCAGGCTTCCATTGCTTTGCATCTATATTCCTTTGCTCTTTCAATGTTATTGTCCAT